TGGTAGAATGTTGACATATGCATTACCTCATAACCAGTAGGGCAAAAGTCTTTAAGATGACAAAAACACATGACAAATGACATGCACAATTGTAGATTTTGTATAGTAATTCTTCTTTTATCCCTCGTAATCAGTGGGTTTATTATTAATGACAGCTCAAGCTGATCCTAGATGAGCACTCCTACACATTTTGTGTTAGACACCTACACATGGGTCTGAACTAGCGGTTATTTCCTCTGCAGACCACCTGACTCAGAATAGCACAGTGAGATGGCTTCTGGTTTCCTGCAGAAATTTTCCCTGCATCTTGCAGCCCAAAGAGCAAAATAACACCAACCATGACACACATTGCTGCACTACGTCACACAGGCTGATACAATTCATCGTGTACTAATGCTTTAACAAGCCCAGATCACTGGAAAGGGCATTAGACAGGATGAATTAGCCAAATCTGATTATTTACAGCCATCCTTAGAGAAGGTTAAAAGGATGCAGTCGACTTGAGCACTATAATCTTGAACTGCTAATAAGGCTGTGACTGTTTGTTGCGGAAGATAAAAATCCCATTAATTTTCCCCATACATAAAATATGCCAAATTCCCAGTAAAGAATTACATGATCCATTATCCAATAATCACAGAAGAAAAAATAACAAAAATAAAATATGATTAACCTAAACAATATTTATTAGTATATATATGTTTATTATTATTATTATTATTATTATTATTATTATTATTATTATTATTATTATTAATATGAATATCAACAAAATGTCATTATGTAAATATATAGTAGCAACCCTCTACATTGCGAGTAAATCACTCGCATATGCGACTATTGTATTTAACGTACCATAAACTCTAGTGTGAAGGCACACGGACTCGCCGTCACTTTGTTTCACACACACGCAGCGAGAGAGGGAGAGAGAGAATTGACGCGCTACCTATGCGCACTACATGTAAACGATATTCTTTGTTGTATTTTGCTGTCAAATTAATGGAGTTCCTTTGGAATTCTTCAGCTTTTAAGAACTACCGCTTTCTCCGGTAGT